TTAATTRWTATTGAAAGAAATTAAATATGGTCATATTCAATCTATTTAAGTACAAGACAAATGAAATATTCAGATATGCCACACGATCTGCTCAAACATCTCAGCTAAGCATAGCTGGAAAACATGCCTCAATAGCAACATTAGTTTAGCCATTTCTGACCCTCCTCACCATTTATGAGCCGGTCCGTCAATATGCAGAAAAAAGGGCAATCACTCAAGGCTCAAAATAATTAGACAGAATATCATTTGCWTGATGGGTTTGGGTCCTTTTTTGGGGTTTTCTGGTGCCTTTTATCTCTTTTTCTTTCTTTTGCGCCTGGATCATTTCTGCTTCGATTCACCATGCACACCTACATCCTGCTAAAAGGGCATAATCAAAACATTGCTTAAGCTTTTTGTGGCAATGCCACAAGGAGAAATGGTCAGGTCAGGCAGYCTGTGACCCCAGCCCCCACTGCAAACAAAAGGCCCCTGATGATGATACCTAATGCTTCATCCTCTCCTGGCTCCAGAGGAAGTGCATATTGAACTACATTGAACACTAATGACACTTCCTACCTCTAGGACAGATGTCAGAGGTGGATGGAACATAGAATGACTTGGATTGGAAAGGACCTTAAGGACTTTGTAATCGCAACCCCCCGCCATTGGCTAGGACTCCTTCACTAGATCAGGCTGCTCAACCTGGATATGCTTTTTGATTTATAGCATTCATTTTAAGTACCATTTAGTGTGAAACCTCTTTCATTTTAAATTACATTTTTTAATTCAGGCACAAAAAGAAAAATTCCTTGTTTATTACCTCATTTTCCTAATGACACACTAAATTCCTCACTCCCAAGAATTTAAGAAACCTAACTTCACCTTTAAAAACTTAATTAAGTTTTAGTGAAGTTAATTAAATGCCAGCTTGTATCTCTCAACATTTGCGAAGTAGTGGAAATTTCTTTAAAATTAATGAAGTTCTAAATCAGCTGAATACTTTTATTTGGTCCACTCAACTTATTCAGAGWTAAAGCATTCCACTGGAGCTGTAGTAGAGGTTTCTATTATCAAAGTTGAATTTAATTTCTTTAGATTCTTAATTTAAAGTGCTTAGCAGTGAAATCATGTAGGCAGAAACATTTACTCTGAGAGTAATCATGTACTTATTTAATACAAGTTTTTAATTATTTTACCAGTAGTAAATTTAACGAGAACAGTCTGATGCAACTTTAAATTAAATAATACTTTTTATGAGTTATCTGATTTCAATAGCAGTTATCTAGTGTGGACACTACAGTCAAACTGCTTTTGCAAAACTAAGCAGATGAAATTCCAMGCAATTTTAGTCACAAGACAAAATATACCACTGCCAAAATACACATACACAAAAATAATTAGGAAATGTTTGGGCTTCTCTGYCTTACTAGCAAGGAGATAGTTACAGAAGAGAGGAGACAAACAAGGAAAGTCAGTAAAGAACAGGTTAAAAAAGATTTCTTTTTTAGATAAAAAAAATCTTAAGTGAAGAAAACCTATTGCCTACCTACCACTTGCTTTGTCTATTGTTCAAGGAAATTGTACTTCAGGGAATAGGCTTAAAGTGAATAACAAAGGAAAAACACCTATCATCGAAGAAGAACATTCAACACATTTGTGAATTCCACTYAACTTCTAGCTTCCTTGTAGTAATCGGAACCTACAACCAGAAGTGAAATAAGCAGGAAGTGAGATGAGTAAAAGGAAGCCACATGATGAAAGAACATATGGACAACTAGTAACACACTGCCAACTGCCTTAGAGATTAAGCAGGGCTGATTTAGAATTTCTGTTACRAACAGACCTCAAAACTTTCATTAGATTTGTCAAAAATAGTATCTCAAGAAAGTGAACAGCATCTCAAGATCTCAAGAAAGGATCAGCAACGTTTCTTTAAAGCTCATTCTAAGTGCACCTACTTCGTGAACACCAGTAGTAAGACACAGGCAGGAAGTCTCAGGCATGACCCACCTGAATATAACACCAAACAGCATCCTTCATACCCAACAATGCATTCATAACCATAAAACATCAAGCTTTTCACAGCACCTCAGGCTGGAGCCTGCTAAGATGCAACATCAAAGATCCTTACATTAAAGACAAAGTCTCTGGCTCACTGAAGTCACTACGAAAAATTTGACTGTAGGCAATTTTTGCTGTAGGTCTGGAAAGAGAGCTTCCTACTCTGAGAGGTAAGCATCCGCCCTGATGAATTCTTCACTAATCCCAATTTTTTCTAAGTTACACACCCTATCAACATGTTCAGTAAATTGTCTGCAAAAAGTTTTAGGCTGGCTTCTCTGAAAGCCTGAGGGTAGGGTGGGGATTCAGAAAGGAGGTACCTGCTATGTAACATAGGTCCTACTCACAGCAAAAATCCATAGCTAAAATTATTACTGTAAAATGCACATGACATTAGACAATTTTGAGTGTTGAAATAAGTGCAATAGGCATTGCAATTCCCACACAGCCAGACAGAACTTGTTAGGAACCAAAAGGGAAGACCAAACCAGCAAATCCTCTTGTCAGTCACCCAGAGAGTCAAATCACATCATGAAGGCCTCTAACATTATTTAGAATTCAATGTGGAAAAAAATAAATTAAGGGTATATACAGCATTTTTCTCCTGCTGAGAAAAGGAAAAATTGAAATATAAAGGGTAGTAATGGATTCAGTCCATTCTTTRTGCTGTGGCACAGGATGTGATAATGCTGTGTTAACATATACAGAGACAAAAAGCTTATGGCTCAGTTTACTGTACTAAATTGCAGTACTTATGGTGTAAGTGCTTTGGTCACTACTTGAGCAGCACATAGCTCCTACTGCAAAATTACACATTTGCATTTCTGTTGGAAAACTTTTCTTCAAATTTCAGTTTTCAAATAAAACACACACTGCAAATAGCGACCAGGTACTTTTAATAAASCATACTTCACCAGTATAGCTGTTAAAAAACAATGAAATAAAATCCTTCCGGGACACATCAGCTRTTTAGTACTATTACATATTGCAGATCAAATTTATAAGTGCAATTRGCATCTAGTGAGCAGCATTAAATCAATGTCATCAAGAACATTATATCAATTAATTTATGCAAGCTAGCAACCCTTACTAGTTTACAGGAGTCAAAAACCAATTTTAACCAAAACCATGTGTATTGCTTATGTGAAGAGATACAGCAGATAGCTGTATAGTACAGAAAGCATTTGTAAAACTCAGGAGAAAATTTCATAGCATTTGTATCTCTGGCTAGACTTGCCAACTTTTAGCCAGCATAAGTACAATCCTATTCACCTAAATACACAACTAAATTGCTGCTATAGTTATTAAATCCTACAAATGCACACAGCATACGATGAGTTCTCCACCCACGTAACTGCCTTCAAGCTCAATAATGCAATCCTGAGTATAAACATTCGGAAAAAATCATATAAACCTACATATACACATCTTTTGGTTTACTAAAACATCTGTTTACAGTCTCTTCGAGATACCAGTAGTAGGTAAATGGTAYAGTAATCACAACATAGAGAAACATGTAGTAATATGCTGAATTAACAATCATCAAAGAGCAAGTTATTTTTTTAACTGTTAATATATATATATACATATATATATATGATTATGATCAAGAAGAGAACAAAAATCCACAATTTCTCTTCTCCTCCTACTTTTGCATAGAAAACCTCAGGTCCTCAGACAGCAGCTACCACTAGCTACCAGTCAACAGAAATCTGAAATTCAAGATGCCTAGTGGTACTTATTTCTTCCCACTCTCCTGAAGAGAAGCATGGACAGGATGACAAGCCTTTCATTCTTGCCTTCAGAAAACGAACAGCAGGTAGATATCTCAAACCCTTCTTATCAAGCTTGCCTGCACCAAGCAATACCCAGRTGTACAAAAGAAAGCACAGAGAAACAAGAAACATTTGTCAATTTACGGCTTGCTAGTAAGTATGGCCATCTTAACTGTTTCCACTAAGCTGAAAGTTTACTCTCTAACAAGCTGATATACTCCGACCCTTTGGGGAACCCCTCTCTGGGTGTCATACCACCCAAAAGTAATACAGATGACCAAGCTGAAAGAGCAAATGAGTATCATTTTTTATTACCAGTGTTCGAGCAGTAG